TTGAACTCTGGTGCTGGAGAAGACTTCTGCGAGTCCCTTGGACTGCAAGGCCATCCAACCGGTCAGTCCTAGAGGAGATCCACCCTGACTGCTCTTCAGAAGGCCAGATCCTGAAGAGGAAACTCAAATACTTTGGCCGCCTAATGAGAAGGAAGGACTCCCTGGAGAAGAGCCTAATGCTGGGAACGATGGAGGGCAAAAGAAGAAGAAGGGGACGGCGGAGAACGAGGTGGCTGGATGGAGTCACTGAAGCAGTCGGCGTGAGCTTAAATGGACTCCAGAGGATGGTAGAGGACAGGAAGGCCTGGAGGAATGCTGTCCATGGGGTTGCGATGGGTCGGACACGACTTCACATCTAACAACAACTTGACACCATATTTTTTTTGTCTCCTCCTCCTTCCTGATTTTTCCTTTTTTTTTTTAAATTTCTCTTTGTATTTTATTGTTTTGATGAACTGATAAAAAAAGTTAAAAATGGAAGAACACTGTATGTGAAGACCTGCACCCAGAACCTTACTAGAACTGGACGGTCACTCCTTTTTCACCGTTGGACCAAGCACCGAGAGGAAGGTGCTTACAGGCAGTCCTCGACTTACGACCACAATGGAGCCCAACATTTCTGTTGCTAAGCAAGACGGCTTGCCTCATTTTACAACCTTTCTTGCCTTCTGGTTAAAGGAGCCGCTGCCATTAAGTTAGTAACACGGCTGTTAAGTGAATCTGGTTTCCCCGTTGTCAGGTCACAAAAGGGGATCACGTGACCTTGGGATGCAGCAACGGTCATAAATATGAACCAGCTGCCCAAGTACATCTCAATTTTGATCCCAGGACTATGGGGGCGCTGTAAAAGTCGTAGCTGTGAAAAACGGTCATAAGTCAGTGGCAGTTGTAACTTTGAAGGGCCATTAAATGAACTGTTACAAGTTTTCTCTCGGGTAATATCTTTGTAAACTGCTTGGATGTCAAGCACAAGAAATCAGGGAATCCAGGCAGTTCAAATGAATATAAAGGTTCGTTACAAGGTTAAGGTCACCACAAGAATCTGAGCTACTAACAGTCAAAGCAAATTGGTGGTACGGAGCTCAAGGTGGGCCGAACTTAAGTCTCTTGAGGGCGCAAGGGGATTCGAGACTGATGCCTCATTTGACCCCTCCCTCAGGCTCAGTCTGTTCATCTCCTACACCGGAGACACCGAGAGTGACTCGGACGGCCATATAAATTTCCTTCCGTAAAAATAAATTAAATAAACGATATATGAATTGCGATTCCAGTCAGCAGAATTTCCAATGAGGAGGGAGAGGGAGAGTTATATTTCAACATCTGGAAGGGCCCAGATGGTCTACCCCAGCCATTCACCTTGCAGATTAAACAGCTCACTTGTTTTAATTTATTTAGTCAAGTATATATATTTTTATCCTGCTCATCAGGCAACAAAGCAGCTTACAAAAGGCAATCAAAAACTATAATCACCGATCATTAGTAAAGCCAAACAAACACATGCACACACACAAAAAAAAGGTCAGTTTTGTTTCGTTTTAAGCCAGGATTACACAAATGCGGCATTATTTTTCTAATAAAAGAGTTTTCACCTGATAATCAAAAAAGGTGGCAAGGCTGAAAAGCTGCACGGAGGGTTTGTTTTCACTGGGGTAACAGAACTAGAAAGCTTCCATTTCGGGGTTTGGCTTCTAGGATAAAAAAAAATCTGCATTTATTCAGAGCAAGGTTTAGAAACTTCTTTAGCTAGATGTTGTGAAGATGTTTGATGGAAGACTTCCCCGAGTTCAGAAACAGATTGTGTGCAGATAGTCGACTTACGACAGTTCATTTAGTGACCATTCGAAGTTACAACGGTACTGAAAAAAGCGACTTATGACCGTTTTCCACACTTACGACCGTGGGAGCATCCCCATGGTCGCGTGATCTAAATTCAACCGCTTGGCAACCGACTCATATTTATGACGGTTGGACTACGTGATCCCCTTTTGCGACCTTCTGGCAAGCAAAGTCAATGGGGAAGCCAGATTCACTTAACAACCGTGTCACTAACTTAACAACTGCGATAATTCACCTAACAACTGCGGCAAGGAAGGTCGTAAAAGCGGGGCAAAATCCACTTAACAAATATCTCACTTAGCAACAGAAATTTTGGGCTTGATTGGTCGTAAATCAAGGATTACCTGTATCTCCAAAGACCATTCAGAGAACAAGGATATGAAGAAGAGAATCTTACTTGAAGAAAACAGACAGCTATCAAAATCCCGCTTAACAAGAAGCTGGATCCATTTTCCATCGTCTGGTGTTTTTCAAAATCAGGAATCAACCCAACATACTTCAAGAATGGATCTCCCCTTCAAGAAATGCTGGCTACAATAGCCCAACTGAGCAAACCCAGGAGGCCCTTCGCAAAAGGCGCCCAGGGGTAGGGCGTTCTCTGTGGGTGCTCCCACCCTCTGGAATGAGTTGCCTACTGAGCTCCGGACAGCTCCTGATCTCCGCTCCTTCCGTCGGGACCTGAAGACTTGGCTGTCCAAGCAAATAGGCTGACTCTGATTCTGGGTTTTATTATTATTTATTAGTTATTAGTTAATTTGGTTTAAAATGGGATTTTGTTGTACATGTTTTTAACTTGTGTTCGCCGCCCTGAGTCCTTCTGGAGAAGGGCGGCATATAAATACATGTAATAAATAAATAAAAGACAGCCCACAATACAGTTAGATGGTGAACAAGATTAACATTTATAGTGCTAAAGTTTGATCTGAACACACTGCCAAAAACGCACTGACCTACATCTAGCCTTTTATTTTGCCTTGTTGCTGGTATCCGTAAGATTTATAGCGACTGTTTCCCTATGACTATCATTAAGTGTTGTACCTTATGATTCTTGACGAATGTACCTTTTCTTTTATGTACACTGAGAGCGTATGAGCCAAAGACAAATTCCATGTGTGGCCACTTGGCCAATAAAGAATTCTATTCTATTCTATTCTATTGTCAGAAAAGAGTAAGGCAGGTTCAGAAATAAAAGCTAATGTGGAAGGTCTGAGGCTTTGCTTTATACAACGGCCACTTCTCCGCATCTGTCTTTCTTATCTGTCTGCATTTTATTTAAAGTGGGGGAGCGTAGAAGGGGACCACACAGGTTTCTGTGTGCACCGTATTCTCCACCCTGGAGTAATATGGGATAACGTTTCACAAGTTTCCAAAGTAGAAGGATGCAAACAACAGATTTTAGTGAACGGCAAAGGAGTTGACGTTTAAACACTGCCAGGCTGACCATGTACTCCTGTTCATGACTTATTTATATAAAATCTCCTAAAAATAAAAAAAAAATAAAAAGTTAATATGAGGTCTCTGTTGTTGTTTTTCTTTAACCAGCAATGACATGTGTTTTCCAGATGTTCCTCACCTAAGAAGCCAGACAGCAACCATCATTGCTGCTGTCAGGCCCCCCAAAAAATCAGATCCACACAGCAAGGCCCAAACAAAAGGATTTCTTACTAAAACCTAGTAGGCACAGTAGACACAGGAATCTTTTCAACTCATGGTTAGCACCTGCTAGGAGTTAGATAAGGGTCAACGGAATCCAAGGGAAGTTAGTTTGTGACTATGCAGGGATTCTAGGCTGATCACTCTTTTGACTCCACTCCCAAGTTCTGTCACTCCTCCTCCTACAGTTGCAAAATCACATTTTTCCCCTTCACTGTGACATAAGCAATGTACCAGTGCTGAAGAAATACCTGAACGAGATAAAGTCTCCACTAATTTCAGGATAATGTAATAAAATTAAGTGACATTTTCAAAAAGCACAGCCACTGATCTGCCCTGGGGTAAAATGGCTTTAGGAAATTAGGTTGACGAACTCTTATTTTCATCATTTGGCTCCAGGTTACAAACACTGGGCCGGATTCAACACAAAACGCTCACAGTAGTCGTGTGGGCACAAACCAGGGGTGAAATCCAGCAGGTTCTGGCAGGTTCTGGGGAACCGGTAGCGGAAATTTTGAGTAGTTCGGAGAACCGGTAGCAGAAATTTTGAGAAGTTTGGAGATCTGGCAAATACTACCTCTGGCTGGCCCCAGAGTGGGGTGGGAATGGAGATTTTGCAATATCCTTCCCCTGCAATGCCCACCAAGCCACGCCCACAGAACCGGTAGTAAAAAAAATTGGATTTCACCACTGGCACAAACACCATAAAGCTTGCAACAGATTGGAGATTCGATTCCTCGTGCAAACGTACCAATTCATCCACATTTCGTCCACATAATTTCAAAAGCAAAACAAACAAAGAAAAAAAAAAGATTTAAAACTGGCGATTAAGTGTCTACATGGAGGATTATATGAGTCACCAAGCCTTTATAATCTTCACTGATCTACTTTAGTTCAATATGCACATTTGGAGTTTATTCAAAAGGATTCGCGCCCCAAACCACAAACATTCTCGCATCCAATCCAAGGCATCATTAAAAAAAAAAAAAAAAAGAATGGAAATCCGTTTTATACAAGCTCGGTGTATACAGGTACTCCTCGAGTTACAACCGTTCATTTAGTGACCGTTTGAAGCTATAACGGCACCAAATGACTTATGGCCATTTTTCACATGACGGTGGCGGCATCCCCGTGGTCACGGGATCCAAATTCAGACGCTTGGCCACTGGCTCATATTTATGTCGGCTTCAGCGTCCAGGGGTCATGAGATTCCCCCTTTTGAGACTTTCCGACGAGCAAAGTCGATGTGGAAACCAGATTCGCTTAATAATCGTGTTACTCATTTAACAACCGCAGTGATTCAGTTAACAGCTGCGGCAAGAAAAGGTCGTGAAATGGGGCAAAAAAACTCATTTGGCAAATGTTTCACTTTAGCAACAGGCAGTTTGGGCTCAATTGTGGTCGTAAGTCGAGGACGACCTGTATAAACAACAAACACTACATTAAAGAGAGGCTTTCACTGTAGAATTAAGAGTTGAAGCCGAGGGGGGGAAATATATATATATACTTACTGTGTAGCTCATGGTGTATTACATCTACCAGGTTCGGTTCGTCTCCCCACCAAAATATCCATAGCTCCTTACAATTCGGTTTGACATCACGGCGCCAGACACACAAGAGATTGGCTTGCAAACATCGGATGAAACTCAAGAGAATTGGGTCATCTTGAGCAGGGGCTGAGATAATAGGTCCACAGTCTCCATGACCTTCAAAGTTGTACCTACGCCACTTGATGCCTGTCAGTTCCGCCTGCAGGAAAGAAACAAACAAACAGAAGCAACATGTTATTAAAATCGTAGTTTTTACAGCCAACTGATTTGCAGGATTATTTCCCCCACCCCCATTCTAAAACCTTAAGCTGCTAAACTACAAAAAGCATCATCCAAATGAAAATAGTTTTAACACGGAAAGGATTGTTCCCCTTAATATTTCCACCCGATGGTCAGTTGCCCTATTTAACTGGAGAAGCTATTAACCAAATAAATGAAATTACAGAACAAACTGTATTTACACTTGTATCCCCTTGGAAAAGAGGGAAGAGAATTATCCATATGTCTGCGATATAAAAGGAATAAGCAGGAACTATGATATAGTACACGCTGTCATATTGCTCTTTTAAAAATCCAAACAGAACGAAATAAAATAACAGAGTTGGACTCTACTAATCTGACCCCCTGCTCAAGCAGGAAACCCTATAGCACTCTCTTCTTAACAATTTCCAGTGATGGAGCACCCACAACTTCTGGAGGCAAGCTGTTCCACTGGTTAATTGTTCTCACTGTCAGGAAATTTCTCCTTAGTTCTAAGTTGCTTCTCTCCTTGATTAGTTTCCACCAATTGCTTCTTGCCCTGCCCTCAGGGGCTTTGGAGAATAGCTTGACTCCCTCTTCTTTGGGGCAGCCCCTGAGATATTGGAAGACTGCTATCATGTCTCCCCTAGTCCTTCTTTTCATTAAACTAGACATACCCAGTTCCTGCAACCCATTTAAAATGTTGGGGCTGCCCCAAAGAAGAGGGAGTCAAGCTATTCTCCAAAGCACAAGAAGGCAAGACATTTCAGCTCTTAGAACAGAATGCAGCTCTTAGAAGATCTCAGAAGCAGAGAAGAACTATTAAAAAATAAGCCTTTGAAATACAGTGATTCTAAGCCAGGACATCAAGCAAATTCAGTTCAATTAGAAATAGTATAGCTAAACCTGTTAGCGCTGAAAACGGAGTTTCTGTGCAAGTCAAAACCCCGAGCATTACTAACTGCATAAAACGTGGACTCTTGAATTGGCAGTCAATATCTTTAGCTTCAAAAAAAAAAAAAGAAGAGGAGGAAGGAAAAAAGAAACTTTAGAAGAAAAAAGATCTTGACAACTACCTTCCTTTATGCAGTATCACTTATAGTTGCCTGAAGGGCTGAGGCAGCTAATACATTGATTAAATAAGTGATAAAAAGATGAAATATATCTGTGTATGTTTCACTTCCTATTGATCTCTGCCACTTTCTTAAATTATAATAATCACCAGCAACAGCTGTTAACAAACACACTGCTTAGCCTTTCCTATCGCAGAAACGCGGCATTGCAAATTTTAACCGGCGGAAGCTGCTTCATCAATCGCTTTTGCATGATCGATCCCCAGCTCAAAAAAAAAAATCATTTAGCAAATTGGGGAGGGGGTAGGGGGCGGAACGGTCCTTTCTTTTAAGAAACCAATAAATTATTCAGAGTTCTTGCTTTGGATACCTGCATTTTGCTGATTGACAGGAGTGCATGAGTTCTCTCTATGCGTAAACTAAATGTAAAGAAAAGGTAATTTAGGTGAGATTCTACGGCGCGTCCACTGACTTTATTCTCTAAAGAAGCAACCGGTGGGCGTTTCGGCACGCGCACGGACACACACTCACAAACACAATTCTGAAAGCAGCTATTTGCTTAATTTACGACTACCCTCAATCATATACTTTCCACCAGAGGCAGATTTATAAAGCTAGAGTTAAGGCAGTGGAGAAGCCAAAAGAGCCATAGAAAAACCCTAATAATTATTCCTCCAAATCACACACACACACACATACACACACACACACACACACACACAAAACCAGAGGAAACGCCAACCCAACAATGTAAAAAGGAACAAAAGAGGTGATTGAAGGTAGTCCTCGACGTACGACCACAACGGAGCCCAAAATTTCTGTCGGTAAGCGAGGCAGTTGATAACTTAATTTTACCCATTTCATGACCTTTCCTGCCAAAGTTAAGTGAGTTTTTTTTCACACTTACGACCTCTGTAGCATCCCCATGCTATCAAAATTCACGCGCTTGGCAACTGACTCGTACTTACGACCGTTGCTGTGTCCTACCCAAGGTCACGTGATCAATCCCCTTTCGCAACCTTCTGACAAGCGAAAGCCATGGGGAAGCCGGATTCACTCAACAACCCTGGGACGAACTTATCAACTGCGGTGATTCACTTAACAACTGTGGCAAGAAAGGTCATAAAATGGGGCAAAGCTCACTTAACAGACTTCTCGCTTTAACAGCGTCAATTTTGGGCTCAGTTGTAAGTCGTACGTCGAGAACTTCCTGTAATGTTTTTGAGAGAGCTGGCTGTAGGTACATTTCTACGAGATTAGGCCTTCTGAGACCTTACAAAGACTGGGTATCGGCCAGGTATTTATTGGGTCTCGTAACTTTACAATGGGGTGAGCTCCCGTGACTTGTCCCAGCTTCTGCCAACCTAGCAGTTCAAAAGCAGGTAAAAAATGCAAGTAGAAAAATCGGGACCACCTTTGGTGGGAAGAAAACAGCGTTCCGTGCGCCTTTGGCGTTGAGTCATGCCGGCCACATGACCACGGAGACGTCTTCGGACAGCGCTGGCTCTTCGGCTTTGAAACGGAGGTAAGCAACTGCCCCCTAGAGCCAGGAACGACTAACACAGATGTGCGAGGGGAACCTTTACCTTTAACTTTACAAGGAAGCTCAGAAAATAAGTAGAAATAACCTAATTTGGATCGTGTAACATGTTAACCTCTGAAACCCAGCCTAATTAAACACAAGTGCTTTGTTTACGTATCACACTTGGCCAAAATAAATAAACCATATAACGGTTTAAAACGCCGGTCTGCCTCGCAGATGCTGAACTACGAAGTGTGCCCGCTCTTATTTCAGTTCAGCTCCACGTCTTGTGCAAGCACAGACGATAAGGTGGCCCGTTATTAAAATTATTGCTACCGTAATCAGAAATTGCTATCTTTATTTTGAGGGAAAGGACAGATTTTGATATTCCCCATTGGACCGATTTGCAATGGATGCTTTACTGACTTTTTCAGGTTCGTGATCTTTTTTTTTTTCTTTTTTTTAATGCCATTTATTACTGGACATGTTGCTTTTCTGCCAAGAATTATTGACGATGTGGGGAAACATTTCGAGGTACTGCGCTCACCGACCTCAGAATGAGTGTCAAAACAGGAAATAGGAAGAGAGATATTGGGGAAGAAAGGTTTCATCCAGAGATGGGTTTCAGCAGGTTCTGACTAGTTCTGGAAAACCGGTAGCAGTAATTTTGAGTAGTTTGGCGAACCGGTAAATACCACCTCTGACTGGCCCCGCCCCCATCTATTCTCTGCCTCCCGAGTCCCAGCTGATCAGGGGGAAATGGGGATTTTACAGTATCCTTCCCCTGCCACGCCCACCAAGCCATGCCCACAGAACCGGTAGTAAAAAAAATTTGAATCCCATCACTGGTTTCATCTAAGGCAGGAGTCAGCAACCTGCGGCTCTGGAGCCGCATGTGGCTCTTTCACCTCTCTGCTGCAGCTCCCTCTCTCTCAAAACATGCATCACAGCCATCAATGTGCAATACCTGCCGGCACACAATTTATTAAGCTTTTCAACCCTCGGTAGGAAGCCATGGATAAATCCAAGAAAAGAAAAGTTTCAGAAGAAAACAGAATGTTTAATTCAACTATCTATGCTAGTTTTGTGGCCGCTCAAGAAATAGTCAGGCACGGGAAGGGTTTTGTGGCTCCCGGTGTTTTCTTTTCTGGGGGAAAGCGGTCCAAATGGCTCTTTGAGTGTTTAAGGTTGCAGACCCCTGATCTAAGGCAAGGGTTTCCCAACCTAGACAACTTTAAGATATGTGGACTTCAACTCCCAGAATTCCCCAGCTTGGGGGTGTTAAAAGTCTATATGGCTTTAAAATCGCAAAGGTTAAGAAACCATGATTTAAGACTATGTAAAAATTCCCGGAGGTTTTCAAGAAAAGACTGAACAGCCATCTGTCCAGAATAGCAATAGCAACAGCACTTAGATGCCACTTTACAGTGTTTTCCAGCCCTCTCTAAGCGGTTTACAGAGTCAGCGTATAGTCCCCAACAATTTTAGCCACCTCGGAAGGATGGAAGGCTGAGTCAACCTTGAGCCTGGTGAGATTTGAACTGCTAAATTTTGCAGGCAGCCAGCAGTTAGCAGAAGTAGCCTGCAGTACTGCGCTTTAACCACTGTGCCGTTCTGAACCAGAACGGTACAGTAGTCCCTGACTTACGACCACAATTGAGCCCCAAAATTTATGTGGCTAAGCGAGACAGTTGCTGAGTCAATTCTGCCCCGTTTTACAATCTTTCTTGCCACCGTTGTCAAGTGAATCACTGCATTTGTTGAATTGGGAACACAGTTTGTTAAGGGAACCTGGCTTCCCTTTTGACTTGGCTTGTTCAGGAGGTGGCAAGCAGGGATCGCGTGACACTGGGACTCTGCAACCGTCGTAAACCTGAGTCAGTTGCCAGGCACCTGAATTTCTATCAGGGGATGCTGCAACAGACGTAAGTGTGAAAAAAAAAACCGGCCATAAACCACTCTTTTCAGTGTCCTTATAACCTTTACAGTCACTAAATGAACTCCTGTAACTTGAGGTGCTACCTTGATAGGGTTCCCTTGCTGGGGGCTAGACTAGAAGGCCTCCAAGGTTCCTTCCAGCCCTATTATTCCATGTTCTATGTTGAGCGAAGGGACGCGGTGGCTCAGTGGCTAAGATGCTGAGCTTGTCGATCGAAAGGTTGGCAGTGCAGCAGTTCGAATCCCTAGTGCCGTGTAATGGGGTGAGCTCCCATTGCTTATCCCAGCTTCTGCCAACCTAGCAGTTCAAAAGCACGTAAAAAAATGCAAGTAGAAAAATTAGGGACCACCTTTGGTGGGTAGGTAACAACATTCCATGCACCTTTGGCGTTGAATCATGCCGGCCACATGACCACGGAGACGTCT